CGCTTTGCTCTTGAACAACAACCAACAGCAGCTGCAGCGGCGGCAACACAACAACAACAATAACAACTACTACTACTGCAACATTAACAAGCCAATTTAGAATCGTCCGATTACCAGCCAGCTCCACCATGCTCTGTGCTCGTGTGCGCGTTTGTGTGCGTTCGCGCCGATTGCGCCGAGCGTAAAGCACATTTTATCGTTCTCCACTAAAGCGCACACATGCGCCCGTTCGCGATCAGACATCGCGGCTACAATATTCGCGCGACCTAACGCGAACGAGGTAGTACCCCGCACATACAGCGTGCACACATCGCCCCTCTTCCCCAACTCGCTAATTACGATATCCCGATTACACGGCTTATGATTTTACATACAGCGAATCGCGCTATGGCCGCAGCTGCGCCCGCAGCGGCACAAAAGGGACCGACTTTGACCGGTAAACTTCATGATGTCCAGCCGCGAATGCGAACAAAGTTCGCCCCCTTCAAAGCGTGTCCTGGCCGCGAACCGCGACGATCTCGTGGTTTCCGGCCGGCCGCACGGATCTGGGGCTATCCGGATCGAATCTGAGATCGCTCCAATCTCTCACCGATAGGCGAGACTTGCCCTTGCAACATCGAACCCTCGGTGTCGTTGCAAGTATGCGGAATTATCCGCATGGGAGACTTGCTTGAGTTCTGATTGAGCTCCAGTCGGATTTCCCGAAGAATTATGGACTGCTTGGAAAATCAGATCAAAAGTCAGTGACGTCTTGAGTGAAATACGCGACTCTAAGGTCCATATTAATAGTTATTACTTGAAATTAGTCTCTAGTGAGACACTCAGATTTGAATTTAGAGTTAGGATGAATTAGGAGAGTTTTTTAGTAATCTTACATATCTCATCTGAAAATTTTGGATCTAACTCTGAATAGAAATCTGAATATCTCACATGAGACAAGTCCCAGATGACAACTATTAATAAGTGAGAAACCAGATAAGTTTTGTTTGATCTGCCAACGAGAGCAATGCTCTCTCTGAGTCTATATTCTTTTTACAATTATAAATATTTAAGAAGCGTGAGCATTGAAAATGTTTATAACTATTTTTATTTTTTATTCCGTCGACTTCATAGATATTCTTCTAGTTATTATTTTGTTAGAAATAAACTAAATATATGAAACGCTTTGAATGTTCACACTTTTCATAATTATAAATATCTAAGAAGTATAAATGTTTCAAGTATCTTAAACCATTTTCCATAGGTTTTGTGCGGGGTCCTTTCGTGTCATTTTTTATTCGGTCGAATTCAATAGTCGATATGAAAGCGACCGTGCTTTCCGCGAAGATCTTGAGGAATTTCTCTGTGCGAATAATTATACGATCTGTCGCGAAGGCAGAAGCTGTTCGTCTTCTTTTTTTTGCTCGTAATTTCTCGCGATTCTTTTTATCGTTCGTACACGACCGAATCCTCGAATCGATTGGACAGCTCGGTTCCGTTGAAATTCGCTCGAATGTTCCTACTTGGAACTGTTCGAACGTTTCAATCGCACGATTCGCTGTGTATCTTTCGAGTCCTGCTTTCGCGTGTCCGCGCAAAGCTGTAATTTTCCCCAGCCTGCGAAGGGCGAGCCAAAAGTTCCCGCCGACCGAAGGTAACGAAGTAGTCAGCCTTCGATCTCCACGCATCACTCGGACCGATTAATCGCGGCACTCTACCGAGGCAAAGAAGCTCGGTGAGCCGGAAATTTGCATCTTGATGAGGCTTGAGGAAAATTATATATCACCGCAGAGGTGGTTTGTTAGCTATTTCAGTCGAGTCAAAATAAATATCTTAACTCTCTCAAAGTGAATCAGTGAATAGTCACTGATATCAGTTACAACGCTGAGCACTTTCAATGTTATACTTAAACTGCAATCACTCTATTCACTGTTTTCAGTGATGTTTGACTGATTCATTTTAAGAAAGAAGGCTTTCTATAGCACCTTTATAACACCTAAATTTTGACAAAAATAAAAAAAACATTAAGAGCCGATGCTGGTTATTTTTTACAAATGTTTATGATGGGAAGGATAATAATGTTTGTAGTGTCAAATATTAGGGGATTTAAGGTCGGTTCGTTAGTGGAAGATTGATTCATCGCGTACGTTGTAAAGACCGGAAAATTATTTCGGCGGGTGCGTTTGACACTACAAACATTATTATCCTCCCCATTATAGACATTTGCAAAAAACATCCAGCATCAGCTCTTAACGGCCTTATTCCTGTCAAAATTTAAGTCGAGTTAATTATTCGACGATGAAAATAGTCGAGTGACGACATTATTCGGATTGCATTCGTGAGTACCCTAGTTCGATCAGGAGTTGAATTCGTGAATCGAATCGACTGGCTTAGAGAGAAAGCCAGTCAGAAGCGATAAATAATTCAGCGCAAGCTTATCCTGGTCCCACAACAACGAGCATAAATTCAATTATCCGAAGAAGTAATAAAATTATCGGATTTCTATAGTTCGATGATGGTTGCGTTAAAAATTTATCGGCTACTCACTCGAAAATTGATTCACACCAATATCCTTTCTTGCACATCTCTTACATGACTCTTGTTTAACTCCATCAGATGAAAATTAGGAGAAATTTTTGGAAAACCGTTGAGCAGATCAAATAGAACTTGTTCGGGTTTTCCACTTAATCTAGAATCGTGTTTGAAACGTCACTCTTTCGATCTCTCTCTGATACTTAGACTTCCGCGCTGCGGAAACGCTTGGTCTGACTTCTGGGTTGATGCCGCGTCCTTCATGAGACTCAGTCTCTTAGGTCGTTCCTCTGCTGAAGAAATCTCGTGAAGAAGTGAACTGGAAAGTTCACGAAACGTCGCAAAACAAATCCATGAAAGACATGGCCCATCAACTCGAAAACCAGACCAAGAACATACTCCTCTAATATTACTTGAATCTGCACACATTTGCATCAACTAAAGTCCAGAGTTTTCTTGGGAAATCAGATTGGATCAATAATTTTGATAAAGAATTGATAAAAAAGACTTGGCACATTTCTGATAAATTCTCGTGAGAAGTTTGGGTATTAAGAGGAAAATGGAGTCTTTTGGATTTCCAAGCAGATATCGAATCGATGTTGTTCATTTCTTCGTAAAAATTATTGATCCTTCGAAATTGGATAATTTCGTCTGCTCTACTTAACATGATAAATCTTTTGCACTAACCCAGTAGATCCCACGAAATTTTCTATGTGGGAAGCACTTAGCACGAAAAGAGATTTCTCGACTGTAATTATTTCATTGCGCAATTACAGTCACAAATGTCAAACCCTTCTCTGCCCTTCGGCTTTCGCGAATTCCCTCCGGCGAATTGAAGATCACTCCGCGCCTTTGGCGCTTCTTCGTCGGAAGAGAATCGCGCAACAACATCTGATCTAATGCATATCGATTTGAACGGAATCACACGCGCGTTTCTCGCATTGCCGCGAATATATCCGACCATCACGGCGCGTACCACCCATTCACGTAGTTAACGAAGTTCCCTCCGGAAACAACGAGGCGGAACGCCGGGGCGTCTATACGGTCGATCAGTTTTTGCCGAACAACGTGAGCGTGTGCCTGCATCACAAGCAAGCTTGAAATATACACGGTGGCTGCACGGTAACTCATACATTACGGGGTGGGCCGGCTTTTTATTGCTCGCACGCCGCTGCCGCGCCAATGCCAGTTTGCTTTCACTTTATCGCCTGTGAAATCCAGCCGTCTCGCCGGCGGGACAATATTTCCAGAGTGCCCTCGAAAAAGAGTGTACGTGCAAAATTCAGCGTCGGCCCGCCGACTGGCTGACTGGTTGGTGCAAGTCGGAGTCTGTAATCGGACCGGACATTGACGTGAACGGAAAAACTTTCTGACCGGCATTTCCGATGAAATTTGCGATCTATTCTCTTTCCCTCTCTCGCCTCTCTTTCTTTCGCTCCCTCCTCTCTTTCTCTCTATTTCGTATTATGGATAACAAGAACGGGTAATAAAAGACGAATGTGTCTACGCTGAAAGTCGCTCGGTCGCTCGTATCTTATAGACGATTAGAAGCGATTCGTTAATTTTTTAATTGAATAAGAAATTAGGCCTAGTTTTTTACATGCCGAAGGAACGTTTATCTCGAATTGCCGGTTTTTATCAGAGCGAATAGAAGTGTTATTATTAGACGAAAGAAACTTTCCATCAGTCTTAAAAACGAGAATTGAAAAATCGATTGATTGTGATTCGGTCATTTCATCCTTCATATCTTAATTTGAATTTTCAAAAGTTCTGATTTAAAATTCACTTTTTATCTGTGGGACTTTAGAAATTCTTTTTACGCACAATTTTAGAAAGTTCCAGCCAAACTTTATTAAAATTTTATTTCCCTGGGAAATGTTTTAAATTCAGATCTTTTATTTTCATGAAGAAATTTCTTTCTTAATTTTCATTTTGGTAAGAGCAAAATATTTTGGAACGTGAACTGACGTAAATCAGTGAAAATGTCAATAGAAAATCACCCCAGTTGATCTCCAGAATATCTATCACTACTTAACATTATGATCTAATTTCATTAGTACCTAATATTATTGATAATGTTATAGAATCGATCATCAGCGCGCGGCGTGCTTGTAATAAATCTTGATTTAACAGCGATGTTACTGAAACTAATACTCGAGTTATCAAAACACATACATCATTGTTTTAATAACCGCAGCATTCGTTCCAATAATATTGCTACTGAATCGAGAAAATTAGTTCCAACTACGTCGGTGTTGGTCTACTGATCTACTGATTCAATAGCGTTTTTTTCTTTCGTGAATTATGACTCCTATTACCGTTTCATATCATCTGATCTAATTAATAATTGACATTGCTGATGAAGAATTCCAAGTAAGCCGTTCCAGTGAGGACGATCCCATTGCAAACATCTTCCAATAACCTGCGAATTCTCAACCGCGCGAGAGAACAAACTCTCCAGACATAAAGGAATCGTTTGCGTGTTGCAGGGAGCCTGGAGATCTGCTCGCACGCGAACGCAGCCCGGCGCGTGATCATGGTGCTGAGTCCCGCGTCCTTGGACAACGTCTGGACAGACACGAGCGTCGCGGGGGTGCTGAAGCAGCTATCCACGCTGCCGGCGCGCACGATTGTGATCGCGTTGCAGGGGATACCGGGCACCACGGCGACGATCGCGAAGCGATCGCGACGGGACCGCCGCAACATCCTCGACAGCGACGTGTTCCTCGACCAGCTGACGATCCTGCGCTGGAAAGATGGCGGCGGTGGTGATGGCGGCCGCGACTTTTGGTACAAACTGCGACTGGCGATGCCGGCGATACGGCCGGTCGCGTCTGAAACCGGCTGCCAATCGGTAGCGATGATAGTGCAGGCCAACGGTAAATGCGGGCAGCAAAAGGCGCGCTCGCGCGAGAGCCTGGAGGTCCTCGTTTAGGGTTGCGCGTCTTCGAAGTCACGTCACCGCCGTCACGCCATCGCCGTCGTGCCACAGCCGCCACGTGATCTGATTGCTCCCGGGTACCACGGACGAGAGAGTGGAAGGACTTCCTTTCTTTCTTCCACCTGTTCGCCGGAAGCCGCGGGAAACAGAGAAAGAGGCGAAGAGACATACAGACGATCCACGTGGCTTCTTTCCGCACGCGACGGACGACGCGACAGTTTCGACGCGTCGAATCCTTGGATCTCCTCTTCCTTTCCCACTCGAGGGTCTCGCGGGGAGATGAGCCTTCGTCCTTGAGGACGATTCTTATGTCGATTCTCTTTCGGCTTTCTTTCCCGGAAAAATCGCGAGAGCAATTCGGACGACGATCACGACGATGATGAGGTACCGTCCGGCCGCGCGCGAGGAGAGAATCCCACGGACACAGGTGGATCTTCTTATCCTCGATACTCCGACTTCCGCATGGATCGCGGGTCGACCTGGACTCGAACAATTGGAACTGCGCGGCAGAGCTGCTTAAAAGGGAAATCCCGCGCAAAGCTGTTTGGCGTAAGCCGCTCGCCCTCCATATGTATCTTCACACCGACGCTAGTCCTGACCGTCCCCTTTCCCCGCGTTGCTATTTTCCGCTCCTTTTCCTTCACACTTTCGCCCTCCTACCCCTAACTCTCCGGCTTATATCGAACTTGTATCATACTCGAGACTTTTATCCCTTCGTCTCGGCTTTTTCTTCTCTTTTTATTTTTTTTTATCTTCTTTCATCCGACAACTCAACGATCCTGCGGAAGGACGAGCTTTGACGTGTGGAGTTTTCGGCAGGTGCGCGCTTTCAGGTCGAAGAAAGCGCGAGAGTGACGCGGTCGGAGACGCCAGCGCACACGAAAAACCGACGTTTTGACATCGAGATGCACAAACGACCCTTTTTTTAACTCTCGCGGAAACAAACGTTCAAATTATCGCGCGAGACACATAAGAGGCAGACAGAAAGACACTTTGCGACGGAGAACGTCGCCGTGTCATGGCCGATTTTCTCGCGAATCGCGTCGTCGTTGACGGAAAGCAAATTCGATCGGAAAGGAAGGCTAACAAGAGGTCAGAACACGAGCAGATGGACAAGAGGCGAGACAGACGGTCCTCCAGAGGATATGTCAATTTCCAGAGTGAGTCTCGTTACGTAACCGCCATTTTCGCTCTCGCGTTCTCTTGGACATTGCGCTTCGCGATGACGAAGCTATTCGAATATTTCATCGGCTGTTTGAAGATTTGCAAATAGACAAATATTTAGATATTCAAACACTCACGGATAAAAATTGAGAAGGATATGTATAAAAATGTTTAAAAATTTTTCTAAGTACATATCTTAGCGATATCGATTATCCATTTCTATAGATAGAGGTATTATCACAGATAGATAGACATTAAGGCAGCCTGATCGGGAGACATCGGGCGATTGAAGACGTTTAATTCCCGGATTCTCGGGTTCTTGAAGATATATGCATATCCGGCGAGCAAAAAGACTGAAGGCAATGACGCGGTGATTGCGCGCGACGAGGAGCTGAATTTACAATTTTTCGCGCGAGAAAGAAGGGAGGAGGGAAAAAAGCGCAGAAGAGAGACAGAGACGAGGAGGAATCGAATATGCTTTCCGCGATCGACGATTGGTTCGAGCATTCCAACCGTTCCAAGTGGACGAGAAGTCGAATGATGGAAAAATGCGCAGTCTTCCTTCCCGCGGCGCGCACGTGATGAGAGTTTGATTAGCGAGCGTTCCGTTATCGGCACGGCGCGTCGCGCTGTGTCGCGTCCTTCTTAATTTGCCGCCCTACTTTGTATATATTGCATAATCTGCGTATTTATTTAGCTAGCCGCGTTATTTATGCAATTGTTTCCGTTGCGTAAGTACCGAGTTCCCGAACCCTTTAATCGGTGGAAATGCAATCTCTCTCGGTTTCGCAAAAGCGACGCCGGAAATCGGAGAAACCCGCAATTTTCTAACGTTTTCTTTTGTTCTTCTCTTAAGAGAGAGAAAGAGAGAAAGCGTGTCGGGACATTCGTATTTATATTTTATATTTATGTAGACATGCGTGTATATTTCATGCATAAAGATTCGACGCTAATTCGCAGCGTGTCGTGCACGGAAAAAAAAAGATTTGGTTGAATTAACCAAATATCTGGTCGAATATGAACGATCCAGAAATTCCGATTGAAGTAACTCGGAACTGGTTATTTAACCAGACATGTTTAGTTAAATAACCAGACATGTTTGGTTAATCTACCAAAAATCTTGTTAACTTAAACAGAATTCGGGTTACTTCAATCGGAATTTCTAGATCGTTCATATTCGACCAAATATTTGGTTAATTCAACCAAATCTTTTTTTTTTCCGTATAGTTTCGATGAATGTACGAAGCGCAAACAGAGAGAGAGAGAGAGAGAGAGAGAGAGAGAGAGAGAGAGAGAGAGAGAGGGAAATAAAGGAAGTTGTCGCTGCACCGTCACGTTTTATTTAATGGATCACGTGAACGCTGGTTAAAGGGTTATCCGATTGCACATACATACATATATACATACACACACACACACACACACACACACACACACACACACACACACACACACACACACACACACACACACACACACACACACACACACACACACACACAACACACATACAATACACGCAGCACAATGAGATCGCGTTGCTATGTGGGGCATCGCGTTCCGTCGCACACGCGACGGAAAATCTCTTCTAAAATCCGGTTTATCAGTCCGAGTGATAACGGCGAGCAATCCCGTTGGATATTGTTCGGCGTGACGAGACCGGACACGTCAGCCGCCTCGGCGCGTTAATACATAAGCGTTTTGTACTGTTTTATATACGAACATACGTGTAATACATGCACACAGAGGATGTCGCGCCGCCAGCGTCCCGGTACGTTCCCTATGTGTGACACGATGCACCCGCACGATCGGTGTCGGTAGACGTTGCTTGAGTCATCATTATTGTTGCAATTCGTTTCCCGATGGGAGAAATTTCCCGGAGATCCTGGCTTTTCTCTTGGTCCTTTGGATGGCCTTTTTTACGTATCCATAGAGAGAGAGAGAGAGAGAGAGAGAGAGACTGGGTCATTGAGCGTGTTTCTCCAAGTGTTTGGAGTTCCTAAGTTGCAAATAAGATCACGCGCATCCTCCCGAGTATTCGGATCAATTCGTTCTGGTTTGTCGATTTCGCGTCTTTCTTTATCCACTTTATAACGTGACGAAAGTCTCGTTTCTGAATCTGTAAATATTGAGCTGCTTTATTAGATTTTTCCTTCTTCTTTTATTTTCCTCATGACGTGGTGAAAATTATGTTTTTAAATCTGCGAATATTGAATAATCTTTCTTTGTTAAATTTTTTTTCTTTTCTGATCTGCCTCGTAAAAAAATTTGATTTTTAAATCTGCGAATTTTGAGTCTATTCTTGTGTAAATTGTGCATCCATAAAAATTCAATGCTTTCGTCAGATTTTGTATGCATTACACGCTCTGTTATATCATAAATTGATGCGGTATTGAAAAAGCTCTGGTTTAAATTACAACTTCGAAACATCCGTGTCTCAAGTCCCGACTTGGAAGGTTCATTCCCGAGTTCTAAATTTGACTTTTACATTACATTCTCCGGTCGAAATTGTAAATTCGCAAATAGATGCGAATTTTCATGGATTTCAACGATCGATCTTCCAGTTGGAAGAACGACTCGCTCGAACGATCAAAATGTCGAACGTGAAAGTGCAATGTGATGTGAGCGGCGTGAATGATAAGTTGAGTATCGGGCATCTCTCTGTCGCGCGAGTGCGCGGCTAAATGTAAATCAACTTGAGACTGTCGGTCCCACTCCGGGAAATTGAATTTGGGCGCACTGCACAAAATCCAGAGAAATATGTTCGCGTAGGTGATACCAAGAGAGCGACGGTAACAATAAGAGTAAAGCGCATAGAGAGTAAGTGTTATCTGTAATTATAATCGTAACAGTGGCTGTAATTGTAACTTAGAGACGATTGAGCTGCGATGCGGAATGAAGGGGGAGGGGGGAGGCGAACTTAATTTTTAACGTTCATAGCGATTATTCTCTTTACTGTCAGTATTACGACACACTAGTGTACTCGTCTCGCCGGGATGCCAGCAAGGATCATTTGCTAGGATAATCGCGAGCCGAGTAAGCAGAGTAATAGATGTAGAACCATGTCACAAACGGTGTCTCTCCGAAAGGGATCCGGATTTTATCCGGAGAATTATAGAAATGTCACGAAAAACACGTTTTCGTGTTGGATATTAAGTTGAAAAAATGTAACGTATTAAAAGCAATGAAACAAAAAAGACAGGTAAAGATTTCTTAGAACGTCTTTCTAAAAGAATTTAAGCTATTATATAAAAAAATATGAATTTATATTTAGTTGAAGAGAGAGAGAGGGAAAAAAAGATCTTTTTCTCTTCAGAAATAAAGAAGTTAATTAAATTTCTTACTTAAATGCCGAAATATATTCTAGCAATTTGTATGTATCTCGACGACGTGTACTCGCAATAAAATAAAATGCGAGTATTTTCGTAAATAAGAAGAACGTTTCACAATTTTCTTATATTCATAAGAAAGATATAAATGAATTTCAATTTTTATTAAATGTAAATTCTATTTTTACAAATATTTAGTATATTGGGTTCTATTTATCTTTGATGTTGAATTTTATTTATATTTAATTATTTGTTATATATTCTATTTAAATTCCATTTTTTAAATACTATATTATATATATATATATATATATATATATATATATATATATATATATATAATATGGACGAATCATTAGATTTTCAATAAATTCAATAATAAACATATTTTAATAAGATTTGTGCGTGTACACCTAACGGATACAACGAATACAAAAATCTGCGACACGATTTAAACGCGAAAGCGGTACTGGATACTGTCGCCGTTGCTACGAATAAATCGCGTCAATTATTTTTTTTTTTCGTCAAGTAACCGTTAGAACAATCTTTCTTATTTATATTTTGAGAGAAACAACTGATAGCATAAAAATATTGCCTAAATATATCCTACTCGAGAAGAGTCTTTTTAAACTTCACAGACTCAACTGACAGACGGATCCCTTTTGAAGAAAAGCCGTTTGTTCATTTTACTTTTGTAACTGTTTCTTATCGGTCCTATCATTGTTGTTCTTCGCTATTGATAAGGCGATTTTTCACGAGCGCGTCGTTCGACGGGTGATTTATCGATCCGATTGATTGATTTTTCTATTGACAATAAAGTCCGGAACTGTAGGAACGTAGTGCAGTTCGTGCATTTTCTTATTCTTCTCTCTTTCTTTTTTTTTTTTCTTGTTACTGTAGTTAGCTCTATCGAGGACGACAAGATAAATTGGGATCGTGTATTACTATTATTATTATTATTCTTATTATTATCCTTATTATTATTGTTATACGACGTGTAATTTTAGATAAATGTTTATCCATATCCTACCGTGTGTATGCGCGCGCGCACGTTTGATTGATTGATTGATTGATTGGTCGGTCGGTCAGTCCATTGAATGTTGTCGGTTTGAGTAAATAAAAGGCAGAAAAAGAAGAAATAAAAAATAAATAAAAATGAAGAAGGAAGTCATTCTTACGCGTTCCAGTGGACGCGCTCGATTGTTCATAGCGAAGCAAGAGTGTCGTGACGTAAGGGCAATTCTTTGTATATGCTGTACATCCGAGTCCTGCCTGATGGGGCGACCACAAGACGATAGTTGTAAGCGATTTTTAGGGGACTTGGATCGGTAATTCACGGATACATTATACCTTCCTCCCCCCGGGATTGATTTTGTCCCCCTCCCAGATCCACTCACGCGCGACTTCGATAATTGATGTCCAATTGTCGAAATTAATTAATTAATTACTTTGCCGATAATTAATTAATTTTGATACGACTTAATTTATTGGTTTTCCACCCACCCCCGTGCTTCACTTTGCTGGCGATCGGTGCATTTTTTAAACGTGAGAGTACAATAGACGTACTTGTGTATTTTGGTAAATTAAACGGAACAAAGCATCGCCAATGGTTCGTATACACCTACGAGACACACATACAGAAGCGGCTCGCGTGCACACACAGAGAAATACATACTGCATTCAAGTGAATATTAGTTGTTTCAAGTATTTCGTAAGTTTACATATGGAGAAAAATAATTTGCTGGTCCTGTAAATTTTCTGTTAGTCTAGCAAAATCTTTTCGTTATTATATGGACAGTAAAAAGATATGCTAAGAGAACTAATCACTATTTATTGGATATAATTTGCTGAATCGCGATGGATTTATATAAGCAGTTGCAGTTTTGCTCCGATAGCAAATAAATTTGCTAAGGATACATTATTTTGCATCAATAGCAAATTAACGTGACTCTTAGGACAAATACAAAATAGGACTCAACAAATTTTTTCTATCCTGGCAACGAAACTACTTCTCTGATAATAAATAATTTGTAAAATTAATTACGCCAATTAAATTTTTTTGATGTCACTATGAATATGCAGTAGCAACGACGATTTTGCTAGAACAAAATTATTTTTCTCCGTGCGCAAATCTATCAGAAGTTTTCGTCATAAAAGTCAAATCTTATTCAAAATACATTCTGAATAAGTTCAGCACATTTCAATCAAGGAAATTAGATTAAAATAACAATATTTCAAAATTAACAATAATTCGATTTGCTTACCGCGTAGAGTCGCATCAACTTTTCCTTCGACAAAGTTTGATGATATTATTGTACGGAGAATAAACTCTTGCTTTTTTTAATATATGATAATGAGTTCTTAGAATTACGATAAGTGTATTTGAAGACTATTGTCAAGAAAATATTCTTTGTTGAAGATGACCGCTACTCAACTGAAGGGAGATAAACTGAATGTAATCGCTCTTCTTGACAGTGGAATGATATTTTTCTGTGTGTGTATGTGTGTGTGCGCGTGTGTCTACTTTTTTCGCAGCTTCGTCGTGTCTCTTAGGTGCTATTTCTCTCATTCGATTCCACGACGATATCTTAACTTATTAATAGTCATTTTGCTGTTGTACCTCGACCTTCAACAGCTCGGTGTACGTTTCGAGTATGAGAAATAATGATACACACGTCCCAGCACGCGTAGCGCGGTGTGAGTAAGTGTGCGTAACTTCTTGTAAGGAAAGAGAGATGTCGGCTTTTGTCTTTCTTTTGGCGAACTGTCATCGCCGATTAACATGTCAGGATCAATTAACACGTATATGCGTGGTGGCTTGAGTAAATAAAGCGATAAGTTCGCACGATGATCGGCGGGATTCTTCGTTTTCAGGTCGGCGATGTATCACCGCATGTAACAGGACTGCTTCGTAGCAATCGCGTATATTTTGCGCGAGGCGATTTAAAGTATTTCTAGTATAATCAAACGAGCAAGGAGAGTGAAAAATAAAAACAGAGAAAAGGAGGACACGAGAGAGAGAGAAAGATCAAAGAGGGAGAAAGATGGAGGATGCGCAACAACGAGTTACTAGCATAAATAATCCTTTGTATTTTATATTTTTCATTTACAACGACTGCGTTTACATAGGCACTTGTACGTAAGGTACTTGTAATAATTCGATCTATCACCTAAAAGTACAATGCATCTACCTACGTAATAAATATTGATTAATGACGATTACAAAAAACGGACGTTCGCTTCATGTACAAGGTATATATACGCACTCTCGAGTTTATCGCGAGGCGCTCGTCTCACCCTCCGTTTTCTTTTCCTTTTTCTTTTTTTTTTCTTCTTTCAATCCTCTTCTCGTTATCGGTACCTGCGCGGCCATACTAGCGACCACGGTCCTCATTCTGAAAACTCTCTTTTTTTCGACAAAAGTGCCACTCTGTGTGTGTGTGACTGAAGGCCAATCAGGAGGTTTGTAGGCTACATTCCGAGGGACACCCATATCGACGAAAGAGAGTTCAAAATAAGGGCTTTCGTGTGTAAGATTGATTGTATCAGTCACCGTCGTCCTGATCGTTATCTCGACACCACTGTACGTCCTGATATATGACGCCGTATGGCACGTATGTGTGCTGCGGTGCAATGATCGTATCGTTTCGGTATAATTAGCGATGTATAATAAAAATAAAATACGCTACATATACATACACAGTACATATGCACTGTACTACGCTAGAAAAAAAAAAATATATATATATAAATCTATATGTGTATAGACATATGCTAAATAATAAACTATGCTTATCTTCGTTCTAAGGCCGACCTTTTTCAATAGTAGTTTAAACTTGGACCTCGATTTACGGGCTGCTGAAGGGCGATCTCTGTTCAGGCTCCGCTAGTACATGTTGTACGGAGGGAACAGTGTTTGAGCTGAAATCTAAGTTTGAACTACCATCGAAAAATCGGCCCTCGAATAGCTCGGACGTTAAAGTAGCCGGACTTGCTGGTGTTGTGTACTCGGTGGTATCGATACTAAGGGAAGCGATGAAGACCATCGCGCCCGCGACCTCTCACAGCGAGTTTGCCGTGCACAGCCCGACGTGATCGCGCTCGTCTTTCTGGCATGATTTCGGGAAGATACGCGATGTGACGCATGATTGAAAAATCGTACTTGCCTATCAGAAGCAAAGTGTGTGTACATATATATATAAAAGTCAAAAGCCATAGACAAATTCGTTAGAACTATCTGCATTTTCCTTCTTTTCTTTTAAGCACAATGCCGAAAAATCGCAAGTACAAAACGCAATCGATGTACGGATTGTGTGTATACGCTTGACTCCGCGAATGCTTTGCTATTCATTGGGATCGATAGATATACTAAAAATTTTCGACCAGCCGTTTTTAACCAAGTGTTTCTCGTAAATCATTGATCAATGGAGAAAATGGGAACACTTTCAAAGTGTTACGTGTAACGCGAAATCAGGAAAGGAAGAGTTTGTTGAGAAAGACAAGAGGTTAATACATCTAACATTCATGTAAATGATTAGTTAATTATTAATATTTACATTATTATATAATTAATTGCTGATTACGAGTAATCCTCCTTGCTGAAGTGTACGAGGTATAAAGCTGTCGTTAATTAATTGCGAGAAACGCGTAGCTAGGAACAAATGGTCGGGAAAATTTTTGGCAACCACCAATCCACATCGAATGATAAGGCATCCGCGGAACTGAGAGTACTTAAGTACTTTGAGTTCGCCGTTGTCTTCCCCGTTCTTCTCTGTAATTTTCTCCCTGTTGATTCTGCATTATTTGCACGAAGAAAACTCGAGTATATACCGCACGCTTTCGCTTGACGTTAACGACACGACGACAGTAGTGATACAGAAGTGACGATAAAACGACGCACGACAGTAATTGAGAGGTAATAAAAAAGAAAAAGGAACGACGTTTCGATACGATTCGCTCTCTTAAGTATTCGCGTGTATTTCATATAAGTATCTCGCTTGTGTGTATACAATTATTATTACAGAGGCACCTGAATACTTTTTTTCTTTATTTACGCTTTCTTTTGATCTTGCTTCTCTGCACTTCTAACACTAGTTTGTAACAAACGGCAGGAACATTGTAAATTCTCGCGGTGAAAAAAACGCTGAATAAACATTCTCGCCGGATATACACGGAGTGGCCTGGTGAAAAAGAAAAAAGATCGGTCCACCCGCTGGCAGTGATGTACGACGAATTATAAGTCCGCTACCTCCGCGTTTGACCGCGACATTCTCGTCGGACACTCCGTGTATGTCCGCGTTTGTTAGAGTATAAGTATATATATATATACATGTGTGTATATACACATATTTATATATGTATAAAAGTGGCGTAGAATCCTCCTTTCCTGTATGATCTAACATTAAATACGTCCACGTGAACCCATCAGTTCACCAACAATCCTTCGGAGCATTCGAGTTGTCGAGGATCAATCGAGCCTCTTAAAAATTAATTCTTACCGATCATAAGGCAATTCCTCGAGGACGTTTCGAGAAGCTCAGAAGGATAATTAGATCTCAATATTACGGGGATTAACTAAAATTCCGTTAAAAAAACTATCCTTGTCGTTCCGTTAAAAAAACTATCCTTGTCGTTCTTCCGTTTTTTTCTCTTGGATCAAGCCTCGAGATTCCAGAAGACGAAGAGTGACACCAAGAGATCCATATTGCGACAGTTTCAACAGCCGATCGATCGATCGTGTAATTTTGGTCTCGTGATCTTTATCGACATTTAGATCAAATCTCGGTCCTCAAATCTTAAAATTATTGGTAAATACGAAAAGCTCTTTTGGTTATTTGTGTTCTTTTTCAGGCGCGTTTCTGATCGTCGCCTCTTTTTTTCACTTACATTTACGCTTATTTTGCTCTTTCTTTTCTTTTATTACTAAAACGAAATTGCTCTTGATTATAAATAAATAAAAAAGTCTTTTGCCTAAGAATACTTGCCACGTTTCCTGACGAATCCCGGCTGATCCCCCAAAAGCGTTCGCGACAGTTCATTGTGACAATCGTTGAGGAGATATTCAGTGATTCAACGGATGAAGTTTCCCGACGAAATCGAATTGATACGAAGAATGACGTAATAATACTGTTACCTCTGACGCGCCGATCAGTTTTCCCTTCTTTCTTCCCTCTTTCTCTTCGTTCAAGAAACGTCGATAACGACGCGTCGCGCTGTGAAATGGCTAAGAATTCACGATAAGCTAATTAAAGGAGAAGATAAAAGAACAATAACAAAATGACAAAACTGACAAAGACGAGGCAGCCTGCGACAAAGATGTTGGTTAATTCATGGTTAATTCATTAATTTCCTCCTCCCTCCTACCCCCTTCTCTCTCCCTCGCGAAGGTTTCTCGAGTCTCTTGTCTTCCTGACGTCTCCGAGAATCCTTTGGATCCTCGAATTAATCTTGTGTCCCGCGAAATTTTGCCTTCACGATCGGTGTTGCGCCGGACCATTTCCAATCCTCTGCTTTTTCGCACGCTTCGACCAGCCGTGGAATATCGAAATGTTGGACTTCGCGAGTCCCACAATATCTCCGTATTATTCTTCTCCCGGACGAAACTTCTTTCGTTGTTTTTTACCCGTATTTTACTGCACGTGCTCGTGGCAAGTTGGACCCTCTCCTGGAAATTTGTTGGATCCAAGGATCGGCTTGCAGGAGCGACTCGCACAAATCTCCAACTTCGGCTACCGGGACGGCACTGTGATCTGTCGCACGCGATTAGACAATTAGCCGCGCGGTGACGTTAATCAGAGCATCGTGGACGTGCGATCGCGGTAGCTGTTGCTGGCGACGACTGCCAAGGCCTCTGCCATCGCTTTGCCCGTCTCATTCACCATGCTCTTGAGGAAGCTGGTCTCCTTCTGCAGCAGCAGGTGAGGATGATCGAATTCCTGTCGCAGGAAAAGAAAGAAGTCCGTTTTGAGGAGAGAACTCGCGATTTACGATCCACTCTAGTTACGAGGGCTGCATTTCCCCGGGTGAGATACACCCTGATGTGAGCACGTGGCGGCTCGATAAAATATTTACGATTTATACGCGGAATATGATGGAAATACAGTCACTCGTCGTACTCGCGACGGCTCGTATCGCGGAACAGACGAAGGGGATGGGCGGCTGCCTCGAATATTTCCGTGTCGGAAATAATTGAAAATTGCCGGAGTAAATGAGAAATGCAATTTATGTACAATGGGAAAGAATTCAAGAAAAATTCAGTACTATGTATTTTAAAAAAATATGATATGAATTTGTGCTTCGCAATTAAAAATGAAATTTTCACGAGTGCAAGAATGCAGAGTCATGGGAAGAGATTAATTTTTACCACAATTACGTTATTCCAAATGTAATTGAAAGCCATTATTTTTCTCAACTATATAAAATAAAAAGAATTCCACAATTTGTAACTCCCATGAAAATAATGAGAATGAGACATTTCAAGGAACATTTTACAGCTTGAAGTTTCTAGTTTTCAGATATATTTCCAAATCTAATGTATGTATATTCATTTTTTACTACATGAATATCGTCGAATGTTAAATATTTTCATGAAATTTGTCAAGCTATACTGTACAGGAAAAAAATTGCACACGAGTGCTGTTCAAAATGTTTGAAAGCGCAAACTTTTCATTTTACATACACGCAGATTGCGATGAGATTTTTTTTTCACCGAATTATTCGGTATTTGTTGAAGCAAAAAACGTTCCTTTAGCTTTGATACCATATAGAAAACGAACGAATCGCTGTACAACGTTTTTTTAAAAAATATATAGAATGCTGAAAGTCTTCTTTTTAAAATGCATCCTTCGCGTTTTTGATACATACAAGTATTGAATGTAAAGCTCTACTGAAAAATAAAATAGAAAATTCGATAACCGCTATTTTTTATTCAACTCGATATATTTTAGCGACGGACGACTCCAACGTTATAAATGTAATATTATCAGAAACTAGAGACTTTAAGCTTTAAAATGCTTCCTAAGTCATCTCGTTATCTTTATTTTTGCGGAAGTTACAACCCGTTAAGTTTTACGTATTTTTCATGAGGGTATAAAAGCGCGTCTGACTAGTCGTTGATTCGTACTACGACCTCGTTTTCATTTTCATTTATTTGAATATATAGGGTGTACAAAAAGGAGTACTGGGTGAAGGTGCTAATGAAGGATTAACACCGCGTCCGATGTCCGACGTCCGATATCCAATAAAAGAATAGCTTTCCAATGGAGAATTGAATTCTATATTAGAAAGCTGTTCTCCTATTGGATATCGGATGTCGTACGTCGGACATCGGATACGGTGTGAATCCTGCATAAACCTATCTCACCCTACTACGACCTCGATTTCCCATTCAAGTCAGTGGCGGCTCCTAGCGGAGACTTGTGGGAACTAATTTTAAAAAATAATCTTCGAAAATATTCGACTGAAATTGACTACTTGGCGCCATCTAACAATATCGAAGGTCAAACTTGTTGAATTTAAATGGTTTGAGTCTCGGCTAAATAAAGTTTAAATCTCAACTAAATAGAATTAAAGTCTCGGCTAACATGGTTTGAGTCTCGACTATGACAACTTTTAATTTAGAAAAATCTGCGAAGTTCAACAAACTGTAACTTCGGGAAAAAAAAATTAGTGAAATGTTTCAAGAAACATTTTAAAGCTTGAAATTTCTCTTTTTCAGATATATTAACAGTATAATACTGCTCTTGTTTCCTGCAGAAGTATAGTAATTTTAATGAAAAATAGCAATTGTTCGACTTCTAACCTTATCTTCTAATAGAGTTTTCGCATAAAAAACTTATTTGCAACAAAACGACAAAATATAGGTTTCAGAGAGGGAACTTTTAGCTTTCTACACATTTGTTAACGAACGTCGTATGTTGATTTTTTTGCTTTCTACACGCAATCAAAGCTGAAAGGACGCTTTCCACTTTAACATGAAATAACTTGATGAAAAAAGATTGCAATCTGCATACATGCAAATTACAGAAGAAAGATTACACTTTTAAACAGTATGAACTTTATGCGCGTGTAATTTTTCGTTTACGCAATATAACTTGATAAACTTCATGAAAATTTTAGCTTTTGTCGCATCTCGATTTATATTAATGTGGCACCGCATAAAAAATATATTATCTCTATATCCAAAATATCTAAAATAGAAACTTTAAGCTTTAAAATGTTTCCTGTTTTCATCTCATCATTATTTATGTGAATATTACGATTCGTTGAATTTTCATTATATTTCATAACTGAGAAAAACGCTTCTTCAATTAATGTATTTGTGTGTCAATTATAATCTATATATACACATATTCAAATTGAAATAAATGATGGAAATGAAGAGTACTCACTTAAAACAATTTAAAAAATATACGATTGCATTACGAATACAGTCTAGAGAAAATACAATGAAAGAAAATGACTTACCACTGCGCTGCCGGCGTCCATCAATAAAATGCGATCGCTGTCCATGACAGTGTTAAGTCTGTGGGCGATCGTGAGCACCGTACACTTTTCAAACTTCCTGCGGATCGTCCTCTGGATTAGCTCGTCTGTACGTGGATCCACGTTCGCGGTGGCCTCGTCTAATACGAGTATCGGATTGTTGCGCACGATAGCGCGCGCCAAACAAACCAGCTGCCGCTGGCCAACGCTGAGATTGGAACCGCCCTCGTTGACGTGTGCTTCCAAGCCCATCTCTTTCAATTCGACCTCTTCGAGTGCTTGCCAGAGTACGTTATCCGTGTACGAGTCGAAGGGATCAAGGTTGCGGCGCAGAGTGCCGGAAAAGAGGAACGGTTCTTGCGGAATGATGCTGATCTTGCAGCGCAGATCGTGTAGGCCGATGGTGCTCGTGTCAATTCCATCAATCTCGATTGGACCTTCTACGTCAGCCAGGCGGAAGAGCGCCTGCATAAGAGAAGATTTCCCAGCGCCGGTGCGGCCGACGATGCCCACCTTTTCGCGCGGATGAATTACGAAGCTGAGGTTCTTCAGTACGGGCGGCTCTAGCGGTGCGTAACGCATCCACACGTTCTTGAATTCCACCTTGCCTTCTTGGGGCCACTCTGCTTTCGGTTTCTTATCAGGGGTGCTCTCGAGAGGAGGCTCGCTGTTCACTTTACTGTAAAAGAATAGTAATGGTTGAAAGAATATCAACATGACGTTCACTTTATTAATGAAAGAAATTGCCATCAAAATTGATTATAATAGATTTTTTAAAAGCTAAGGAAAAGCCTTAGCTTATTAATATTTATTTAAAATATTAATTTCATTATTATTTAATTTATATTAATATTATTTATTCTAATATTAAAATTTAATATTCAATTCTAGTAGGCTATAATTATAACTTTGATTACATATGTAGAAACCTTAACTCTTTCAATTAATTATGAAAGAAATTAAAATAGTCAAATATATTTCTCTAAGAATTTAATCTTTAATAAAATTTATATAAATTCTTTAAATCAAAAGGGGGTTTTTTAAAATTAAACAATTGCACAATTTATGTTACCTGTATTCAAGGATACGTTCCACAGATGTCATTTGGTTCTCGAGCTCGGCGCTTTGCCTCATGCCCCATTGGAACATTCCAGTTAACCCGATGCTTTGAGTAATTGCCAAACCCACTCTGCCTCCATCCATCGAGCCGGGACCATCATTATCCAGCACGAGGAAACTTAGAGTAACCAGCGCGATATATATTACACAGAAAATGTCCAGCCAGAAGCCGAACGCTCGCGAAGATGCGATAAAGATGTACCACGCGGACGAATGGAGATCTTGGTGACGATCGAATTCCTTTGTAAGAATTTCCGCTGCCCCAAAAGCGCGAATTGTCGGCAGTCCTTGCAGAGTCGCGCTCAAATGAGCGAAAACCGGCGAACGTGCTGAGGAATATCGTAAATTTACGTTAGATTATTCAGAATTACTTATATTTTAGAAGCGATTTCCGAAAACTACGCTTTCTCTTTCCTTTTTCACTCATTCTATCGAAAATCGCTTTAAAAATGTAACTAATTTTGAATAGTAAAAAATATAATTTATATATCAGAGCTTATATCATATCATATTTTCATTAAAAAAATAATATAATAGTATATTATTATAATTTATTATTATTATTATTATACGTAATAATATTACTTATATAATAAAGCTAATTACTTATATAGTAAAACTAATTTATTCATTTATGAAATACTAGCTCAAAATACTTACTGATACCCTCCAAACGTTTGACACTGCGGCTGGTAGCCAGGTAGATGACTCTTAAGTAGTAAAATATGACTCCTATGATCACGGTTGGTATCATTAACCAAGGACTCGCGATGGCGACCACGATGATGATGCCGAGCAACGCCAGACCAATTTGGATGCAGTCGATTAGGGCGATAGGCAACATTTCGTCTACTGCGCCCATGTCTTTGGAGAAGCGGTTCAATATGCGTCCGGACGTGTTGGTGTTGAAGAAGCGCATAGTGGCGCGACTGATGCAGCGGAACATGTTATCATGCAGTCGTTTAGAAGCTCGCATACACGCCCAGAAGAAAGAGAACGAACGGACCAAGGTTATGACGATAGTCAACACCGTCACGCCGGTGTAGATGTAGATGTACGCGTACCGGGAGAGAGGACTGTTCGGATCGACCACCACTGTACCATTTTCTGTTTTGTGTACCTGCGCAATAGGTGTCGTTAAGCAGTATGTCCATATAAGTCCAGTATATCCATATAAGTCCAGTATGTCTCGTTAAGCAGTAAATCCATATCAGATTATTCAGTAAACGTGACGGCGTATTAATAGTCCGTATTCACAGTCAGATCTTATATTTAAGATCGTCTTAAGTTTATCTTCAAATGAACGTAGCTAATGAGACAATCCGTACAGTATCTGACAATAAACTTAAAACGGTCTTGGAAATAAGTCTCGATTACCCATACAGAACAAATATCCGAAATACATCTCATGGATATCCTCATAGATATCGCGATATCTATAGGATATCCATGAGACGTATTTTAGATGATTTGTTCTGTATGAGTATGAATACGGGTCAATGATATCTCTGACGCGATTAAATTAATCAAAGATACTGACACACGTATACGTTTAAAACATTTGATTTTTTTCTTTTAATTGTCGACATTTGTCGATAAAGGAAACAAGGAAGAGAAAAAGTTTATTATGTGATTGACGGATTATACATTTGTCACTTTAAATTATATCAAAATTTCTTCTGACTTTAATCGATTAATCCCTGAAGAAGTACCAAAATCGTCGTCATGATTGCTGGATAAGCAAGACGTTTTACAGACGGTTAAAAGGTCTATTTTTAGACTTACATGTATTTCTTCAAAGTCTACCCAACGCGCGAGGAAGAAGTCCCCGCCGCTGGCGGCGGCTTGTGCTATAATACAAAGCATAGCAACTGTGATTATGAAACACCAGTTGCCACCCGCATGAAAGTAGCCCGCGTAGACCTTGCCAGAAATGCTGCCAACCGTTCGCATTTCGGCCACCTGAAAAATTTCCAATTGATATTATTTTGAACTGTAATTAATTAATCGAAATTACTTGAACTGCATCCACAAATTATTTCAATTTGATAAAAAAACTACCTAAATCGAATCCGTAATAATTGAAATCACTTGAACTGATTGAAATATCTAACATTTAGTTCAAATAATGCTAACTAACTTTATCTATGCAATTGATTTAATAATTAGTTTATTTGCATATTAAAAAAATATGAAACTACAATAAAGAGGTAACCTAGACAAAGGTTTCTGTCTTTCGGAAGTCGCTTTTTACCTCATCTGGCTCTTGCTTAGAAGTATCATTCGTCATGAACGAGCTAAGCGACGTGACACTAGCAGTACGTGAATTGCTGCGGCTAACCGAAACCGAAGTAGATTGATTTTCTTCCACTTGAGCATGAGTCTCCAACAATCGACCGAAATCCACTCCCATAGAACCCAATTCGTCATACGTTCTAATGAAAAAAAAAACAACAAAAATAAATTCCTCATAATGAAAAGTATTATATTTTAAATATATTTTTAGTTGCTCTGTCATGCGTGAGGATCCAATTTATTTTCAGGATCTGTAGACATTAATAAGGCTAAGAATTTGAGAAATGAAAATTTTGTCACTTTGAAGTACGATGGCAAATGGTGACTAATTAAAAAAAAAAAAGAAAATATCAAAACTATATACCCTTCAGCCTGAATAGTTCCATCCTTCAACACAATAATCCTGCCAACGTTTCGCAAATACTGCAACTGATGAGTCACCAAAATTCGAGTTTTTCCTTGTAGATACTTGTCGATGCATTCCTCAAACATGTGCTTGCCCACGTGAGCATCCACAGCGCTCAAAGGATCATCAAGAAGATATATGTCAGACTCGGCGTACACGGCCCTCGCTAAGTTTATTCTAAAAGTTATTAATGTTTTATTAATATACTATTAACATTAATTAAAAGAGTTCAAGACTTGTAAGATAAAAATACTATTTGATAAATTGACCACAAATAAATAAGTAATAAAAAATAAATAATAAATCGATAATAAAAATCAAGAAATAAAAATAAATAAATCCTTCTAGATATTTCATTCATGTTCTCTTTCAATTCTCTATTTCTCTTCCCATACACACTTCGTATCATCGTATTGCAGAAAACTTCTTAAAAAATTCACGTCTTTTTTCAAATCTCGAGATGCGTCTTACTGTCGCTCGTGCAATCCTTTTAAAAGTGAAGAATACATTAAGATATATCCATAAAAAAAATAGCGAAATTAGTACAGTGTTATCGGAGCACTCTTCAAACTGCGTAATCACTGATCATAAAAGCAAGTAACCAACGTTTGCCTGTTGAAGCACAGCGATAAGATAATTCTACATTGTAACGTGCGTATGTGCATGTGTGTATTTGCGAGAATGAAAGAGGAAAAGAAAGCAGGTGAACGTCTTCTGTAGATGCACAAGTGAGAATATGACTATTTAAATCCTTTTTCTCCACACCCTGTATAGAATTAACACGCGTATCCGCAACGCTTCTGTTTTCGCAAAGCGGAAGAGATGCGCAAATAAACAGTAGAAAATAACAAACAATTTGGAGATGAAATCTTTACACACGTGGAGCATTATATATTTAACGTGAAAATTTCGATAAACCTCACATACTTGAAGCTTTTTATTGTGAAAAACACAAGAAACCAACCTTGCGCGTTGACCTCCGGAAAGACTGATACCTCTCTCGCCTACGATAGTCTTGTCACCGTACGGTAACAAACTGAAGTCCCTCTTTAGCTGACATACTTTGATCACACGGTCGTATCGGATTTGATCCATTTGGCGGCCGAACAGAATATTTTGCCTTACAGATCCAGCGAACAGCCAAGGTTCTTGACTGGCGTAAGCGACCTTACTGTTCACCTGGAAAAAAAGGATACTTTGTAATATACCATTGTAAAATTAGCAGAGACGACTCTATTGAAGACTTGTTTGAAAGATTCGTAAGATTTTTCTAAAGATATGGACGATAAGAATAAAGTTCAATGATCTGAGATATGTATATATATGTATATAATTTATTTAAATTTAGTTGTATATAATTAATAATATAAATAAGAATAAATATAAAAAAAATAAATTGTAACAGATTTTGATGCATATTTGATGTATAAGTGGATTCAAATGAATTTGAAAAAGGTAGGTAGCGCACATACCTTAATAGTACCAGTATGTAGAGGCAGTTCTTTCAAGATAACGTTCATCAGGCTGCTTTTGCCCGAGCCGACTTGGCCGACGATGGCAATCAATTCACCGGGTCGCACCTTGATAGTGATGTTTTGCAGAGTGTCCTCCTTCTCGTCCTCCAGCCATTTGGCGCTGGCGTTTTCGATAGAGATCATATACTCGTTCCGTATGTCGCGATTGCCGAGATCCCCTTGATCATGTCGCACTTGCTGATTCCCCTGATCAGCCTTCTTATTCTTCGTGTCTTTATTAATATTCGCTTGCATAATGTTATTTAAGTCTTCCTTCCCATTGATCCTCGACTCGGTTTTATCCGTGTTCTCGATTTCGTCGTACATCATGAACTTCTGCAGACGTCTAATGGATACCATCGCTTCCGCGATCTGCGTTATTCCTAGTTTACGAGGTGAAAAAATCGTCAAACTCGGGACATTTAACAAGACAGATTGGTAGATGCTAATTGTAAAATGATTCGCGCGACGAATGGGGAAAGAGAGAAAGTAAGAATTCAAAAAGTGAAAGGATTTAAAAAGTAAAGAAAATACTAATAAACGCAAAAAGTAACGGACAAAAAAATTGAATAAAAATGAGGAAGGGAAAATCGAGACAGGTGGAAAGGGGAACAGAAAATCAGCGCGAAAAGTACCTTGTGGGAAGAAGACAGTCATCGTTGTACGAAGAATATTGTAATACGCAGTCACCATGAAAACCTTCTCAGCTGTTATCTTGTTATCAAGCAACACGTATACCAGCACCGTGATGAATAGTGACATCCTCGTGGTGAACATAATGAACGACATCGTGACACCTCGGATATACGATGTCGCCCTGATGACGTCAATTTCTCTTCTGCAAACAAATTTCGCCGGGTTTATCTCTCCTCTTTTTCACTCTTTATTTAATTTCTCTTCATTTTCTTCCGCTTTTTCTCTCTTCCAATCTCTTCCTGGCGAATTCTGTTTGCTTTCTTCGAACCAGAAAGCCACACACAAGCGCTCGTATAATATTTCCTTTAAGCGGCCAATGTTTTATTACATATCCACCTGATCCAATGAAGCGTTCGGCCGATACGAAAATACAAGGTGGTCGAAATAAAATGCCGTGTGTACTGATAACTCGGATATTTGATACTGCTCGGAGACGACGGCAGGTATTAATTTACTAATAGATTAGAAGACGGCGATTAGACGCGCGTGAAAATTGTTTGAACATATCGAGGAAGATAATTCACTTGCAATGTAATCTATTCGTCGATTGGTTCGTTGAACTCGCGGACTTTTGTTGAGCGAATTTGATGTCGAGAACTGAAGAGATTTTCGAAAACGCGTGAATTTTAAGATTTCATACACGAAGATCACTTAACAAATAAATAGCTTATATTAAATGGCTTATAAATTTATTTTGAAGAGATAAGTTCATATAACATATCTGTGAATCGATAATTATATTTAAATAATTCTTATATTGAGATCTGTTTGAAGAGAGAGAAAGAGATCCTTATCATGAAATTCTCCATTGGAACGTAAAATTCGTGGTATTCTAAATTAATATAAAAACGCGAACGTACGATATGGTAACGATAAAAGAGCGATAAATACGGAGCGTTCTGTTTGAACGACAAGGTCGTCGATTATCATCTTGTCTGACGATATTATCATTTTATCAACATCACGGTGACTTCAGTCAATGAACATATTTCGAAAAGTGAGTGGAACATTTGTCTCAGACATTCATGAAATATACGATAAAATTCGACATCGAGCTGCAATATTGTAACGAAACGACCGTTTTATATAAAAAGATGTCAGACAAATTAAGATAAAAATTGAATAAAGCGATAAATAAATTAAGATCTTAATTGCCTGCACAACAGGCAATAATTATCGTCGCCTTCATAACTTCGATTATGCTTCAGCGCAAACATCTCACTTAGAGGCGCGATTTAATGACTATACCTGCGAGTATGTTTTGCAATAATTTTTTCCTCTTTCAACGAAGTTGCGTCGTTTGCTAGCGTGATTGATATAAGTATTACTTGCGCAATTCGCGTAAGTGCAGTACTCACTTTCTTGCCATTTCGATGAGCGCGCTGAATGGCTTCTCCCAGGTGTACATTTTGATGGCTTGAATTCCGGTGATAATCTCATTCGTCAATCGCACTCTCTCGTCGGTTCTAATGGCGGTCTTCAATCTGAGAACCGATGATTTTTTGCCCAGCCATCCTGCAAAATTCCAAGATACAGAATATGAGATAACGACAATTGCTTGCCTGGCGGTACCCAACGATTCGTCACGGTACATGTTAAGTGGCAACAAATTTCGAAGTGAATAGAAACACAAGAAATATAGAATTTTTAAATAACTAAAATTTGGGAATCTCAAAATTTAGAAACTTGAACATTTTGAGATTATTGATTCAGAGATCTCTGAGAACTCGGAAATTGCAACAAGTTCGAAATCTTAAAAATCTCGAGTAGCAGACTCTACTCTCGAGGAGCAGAAATTAGACACGTCCCTGCCAAGATTATCTTCTCTCAATTATCTTTCACAAAGACAACGCGCATTAAGTCATACTTCCAGTGCATCGTGCAATTACAAAGAGGTATTCGCGAACCTTGACTTAACTCCCCCTCCTCCTCTTCCTCTTCAACGGCAACCGGTCGTCTCTTACCTTGCAGAGGTATGAACAGCAGTAGAACTGCCACTCCAATGACTGAAGATATCTCCACTTCCGTGTACATAAAGTACATGAGGACCATAGTCTCCAAGGGTCCAATCCAAAGATAATGCAGGAATATAATAGCCACGTCGAACCTGCTCACGTCGTTCGATAGAAGATTCACCGCTTGGCCGATCGTCGTCTCGCCCAACGCGGTCCTTGTGAGCTTCAATGCCTTGCGATAGATAAGCGAACAGCATCCCACGCGGATCTGCATACCCATGTGCAAGATTCCCATCATGTAGGGGTGGATGACGAACACGTTGATGGCGGAACACGCGATTACCCCGGCGGCGAACAAGTAGGCATGCGTCGAGTCCATCTCTTTGGTATTGAAGTATCGCAACAGTCGACCAAGACACAGAGGTTGCAATACTCTGTACATAGGAAAAACAGCTGCGATTGAGACCAAGTGTTGGGGAAGAAATAATTGAATACACACCTAAGTGAAATCTCCATGATGGCCAATACTATTCCATAAAGTACGATCTTGAAGCCGAAGCATCTGATGATGACTTTTAACAGGCTGGGCTGTGCCCTCTTGCCCCGATGTTGAGCCGCCTTGCATTCTTTCTCCCAGGCGTCCGCTATTTTAACACCAAGAATACCACTTGTATGTTCGTTAAGCGGTTTGTACAAATCAGTTACTTCAAGATCCCTGCGGTAACCCACCCAGAAAGTGCGTAGGATCCAACTGCGAAGAAGCAAAGCACACGTTTTTTTCTCTCTTTCTTTCTCTCATTCCTTTCTCTTTTTTCCTATCTTTTTTTATTTTTTTTTCACTCGCACGAATCGCCCGCAATCTCGCCCCCACCGGAGATTTCTTCCGCGTCTCTATCTCTACTTTGATTCTCTTTTTGCTTCCTTAAGGCGCTCTTCCTATACCACGTTTCGCTCCTATTAGTCCGCCGCGTCCCGAAGCTATTATTATTGTCTGTATTACGTAATGGGAGTCCGTTTCGTGCCCTTCTCTTCGTTTGATTTCAAGTTCGCGGTTACAGCGAAGAATTTGAGTGTTGTGATCAAGGACGAATTTTATGGCAATTTTGTGTTCAGTTTGATGAATTCTGCACACAACGAGTGTGTTAATCCTGTATAATCAGATATAAAACTGTCAAATTGCGCATATATGCGCAAATACACCGTCGTGTATCGACACACAAGTAATGGTGTATCAAGCTGATTACTCGGTGACGTAGTTTAAGATGGTTTTCTGGTCACTTTTTGTATTAATCAATTATTTACGCTGCTTGATGCAGAGATAATTTACATACTTGCTTATCATAGCGATATATCTATTACTAATAAACAAACATGAGCGAGAGGCAACAAGCAAACTAATAAGTAAACTCGGTGTATGTCTTTTATCTCTTTGTTTACATGCCTTTTGTTGTGGCGACCGATTAATCTCGGAAAACATCTGAATATTCAGCGAAAGTACGATCGAAAAGCGAGATAATATTGATTCCCCGTAATTAAAAGTAGCAATTAAAATCTCCGGAGATTAACATAACTTTCAGGTCCGACTGTACGCGACGTACCGGTACAAATAAGTTGCCGTGCGCGCGCGGCGTACCCAAAACAGAATCAGAACAGATTCTGCCAGAAAAAAATCATTATAACGTGAAAATAACATCAAAATGATAAGGAAACATCGAATCATGATCTAAAGGTGAGGTTTACAGGCCTCTTCTCGTCATTTTGACACGGCATCGTAATTTTCTGCTTTATCTGGTTGCTCCATCAGGTGTGCGACGGTTGCGAATTTTTCGTAAGATAGTCATTAGTGGACACAGTTACGACATGGGTTTAGAAATTTTCGAGACACACATTTTCGCTCCTAAATATTTGCTTGGACGCGGATTGATCTTGTTTGTCTTTCCTAGAGCGTAAAATGGCTTGCCGCGTTGCGTAATAGGGATAATAATTATAGCTTGTGGACATGATGGATTAATGACAGCTCGTTAGAAGAGAAGATATCGATCGTATGTGTATTTCCACGTGAAATTGCTTTAGAATTTTTGTAGGATGATGTCGTCGCTTTCACGCTCGGATACAGCTGTATCTTTATCTATTGATTTTCGGCTTAAAGTAAACTGACTTCATCGGAAAGATCATAGACCTTGACAAGCATAAAAAAACACAGATGAGGCAATATTTATTAAACGATAGTATGTATCGTTAGCCTAATTACTTCTCACATATTATCATTCTACAATGACTGTGTATTCCTAGCATTTCGAAGTGGTTTCCATTGTATAAATTCTCTTTCTCCCTCCCTCCCTCTCTCTCTCTCTCTCTCTCTCTCTCTCTCTCTCTCTCTCTCTTTCTCTCTCTCTGTCGTTCAATTTAACCAAGTGGTTCGCTCCGAGGTGCAATCGCACAAAGTCACCATTTTTCTTAATTATTTTTCATAGGCTTCTTTTCATTTTAAGAATCTTCTTGTCATTCTATTCGAATATCATTTTACAATTTGTAAAATAATAATCAACAATGAGAAAGCAACGACGTTTCCTATTTTATAAGTCAGCAGATAAATATGTAATAATTTAGATCGTGGTGACTCGGCACGATCGTTTACACGGGTAGAGTCCTTGTGAGATATCGAGGGACATTCCGTGAGCAAGAAAATATGATAGATTCGAGATTTAAAACTTTCACAAGCACGATCCGAATCTACTGATGTATTTAGTAAACATTCGAGTTTTTGGGCTTCTTGAACTTCATCCGCGACTTTGCAATCGGTAAATCTTCCGGAGCGGGTAATTTTCGGCAAATTTTTAATTTACTGCAGTGCTACTAAACAGGATGCCTTTCTCTAAATTGAGACTCCGATCTCAATGACTAATAAATGCAAGAATTTATCGCATTCGCGATACTAGAATCGCCTGTTCGTACTTACCTGAATGTCAGGACGCTGAGGAAGTTGGCGCCTTGTCTGGGATTCTTCACCTTCTCGGCGTGTACTTTCCCATCCATGACGACGACGGTGCAGATCTCTTACTCTTCTGCAAAACACAATAAATCCCTATGTGAATTTTATATTTCTATATATGCGCGTGCGAGTATATGTATGTTCACAAAAAAAACCGCGCGATCAGGTATAATTCGACAGGACGTTTACTCAAGATGCTTCTTTATCGCGCAAAAGTGCTAGGAGAGAAGAGAGGAAGAGGAGGATGAGGAAGACGGACGGGCATGTCGTAATTCATATGAATCGTAATTCACGTAATTCATCGTGACATAACTGTCGCGTCGATTATGAATTCCTTCTTTCTCTCTTGTCATTGTACCGATTCCCTCTTTTTTCCTCTCATATTCACCAAAGGCAGATTAAAATAAAGGCCCTCTCGCACTCCTCTGCGACTTGTACTTATTGTATCACATCCGGAGTAATTCGAACAAAGCCGCGTACAGTCCAAGTGTATTAAGTCAGTCGTTCCGGGCGACGATGATGCGGCATGTGAAGATCGGAATGTACTTTGACTATCGACGTCGGATAGAGCTGTCAACTCCAGACACCCAGATATATAGAATATTCTAATCGAATTTCCAGAGATCTGTTAATTTATTCGAGTAATCAAATATTCAATTACCGAAAATGTAAAAATATTAAAATGTAAAATGATAAGATATAATAAGATAAGGATTAGATAATATAATGTGACTGCGATATAAATCGAGATAGGATCATAGAACAAAGAAAAGCTGTGAATAGGTGAAGAATAGGAGAAAGTGTAGGTTAAAAAATGTAGAAAATAGAGTAGGTGTGGATGGATGTATGGATCGGATAAGTTTTTTTTTTTTTTTAATCAAGTCCCTTTCTTGGCTGTAGCTGAAGGAAATAAAACTATATATAACTCCCGGCATTAGTTGTAAAAAAGTATTCGATTACCGAGTTCTTTCTATTATCTTTTCCATTATCTTTCTATTATTTTTTCTTTTCCTCATTTCCCGTGTTTCGAAGATAAAAGTATTAAGATAAAGTCAACGAGAAACGACACTTTATTTTTCTCTTCTGAGACATTTAATTTTCTCAAAATATCAAAACATATCAAATTAAGATATGATATGAAACATTTGACAAAATATTTATTTTTTCCAATTTTATCTTAATACAGATCTTAATACAGATTTTATCTTATATATAGATTGAAGGAGACTATATATGTAGACAAGGAGAATATATATGTGTAGAGAAAAATATAAGATTCCATTCAAAGTTATTTTTTCATTATAAATATTCGAGCAGTACACTCACGTATTGGGTATCTCAGTATCACCTATAGAGTTCTCCTCAAATAAGGGTTAAAACACCCGTCCACCGTTCATAGAGAAGAAGTGAGAGAGTGAGAGAAGCTGCACTGTGTTTAGTCATTTCAGTATTAGAGCTTCTGTCTCTCTCACTTCTATTCGCTTATTGTTTTCTTATTATATAATAACGGATAGAATTTGGTCCGATCAGAAATCATCACGCGGTGTCCTGATTCTTACTTGAATTCTAATCATCTAGATTATATTGACAGCATCAAAACAATGTTCGAGAGTATAGATCGAAATGATATCCCCGTGATTGATATTGATTGTACTGATATAGGTCCGGCGTTTAATAACGAACGCACTATCGTTTAATATCGATCTTGGAGGAGAAATCAGAAGACGAAGAAGTCGAAAATCGGTCTTCATTCATAAGATTTTTTTTGTGACACGTGGTTTCCTGATTGTCCGAGTTTTTTCGCAAAATGATACGGCCCAACTGTGCCATTAACTGTGACTGATAAGACGCGCTTATTGATTGCAATATAATTTCATGCTCCCAACACGCAGCTTCCTCATGTCTCTAAATTTCAATTTTCCCAATTGTTATTTTTGCAATTAAGTAAATCGTAGGGGATAAAAAGCGATACTTTAGATTAGATAAATATTCAGAAATGCGGCAAAGAAAGCAACACAAAATGCATTAATATAATAATATTAAATGAATAATAAATAATAGTAAACAATATTATTACTATTAATGATATTATACAATATTATTCAATATTATTTATAAAGGTAGGGAAAAAGAGGAAGGGATAGGAAAGGAAAGGAAGGTTATGTTTTGGAACTGTGCAGGAATTGGCAATAAAGACAGGGAATTCTGGGAGCATATAGAAAAGCATGATTTCGTTAGCCTAATGGAGATATGGATTGATGAAAAAGGTTGGGAAAGGATAAGAAGAAGACTACCAGTGTCACATGAGTGGGAATACAGTCAGGCAGTTAAAGAGAAAAAGAAAAGTAGGGCTATGGGAGGAATGATTGATGATAGGAAAAAGGAAAGGATGGGGTGAGAAGGATGGGGAGTTAATAAAAAAAGGGAGGAGGGGGTAATTATGTCAGAAATAAAAGAAAAAGGGGATACAATAGTAGTTATCTCCATATACAACAAGATAGGATGGAAAAGGATGGAAGAGAGTTTGAATAGAATATTGGAAGATAGAGAAAAGGGGAGAATAATAATAGGAGGGGATTTCAATATAAGAACAGGTGAGTTAAGGAATAATGAAATGGAGAGGGACGGAGGAGGAAGAAGAAGTAAGGATAAAAAGATAGGAAAGGATGGTGAGAAATTAATAGAGTGGGTGCAGGAAAAAGGTTGGTATATATTAAACGGAGATTATAATGGGGATTAAGATGTGGTAATATGGAGTTAAAAAATAAGCATTGGTTAGAAGAGGAAAAGAGGATGTGTGTACTGTGTGGTAGAGATCAGGATGAGATGAAGCATTATATGTATACATGTGAGGTGGGAAAGAGATGGTTTGAGGAAATGGATAGGATGGAAGACAGGGGAAAGAAAAGGATATGGAATAATGAAATAGATGAAATTAAAAGAAAGGTTTTGAGAAGAATATGGAAAGAAAGAGAGAAGGAAATAAAAGAAAAAGAAAAAAGGATAGATGAGAATAAGGCAAAGGGTAGGTTACTTTGAAAATGTGTAAATAATAAGAAAATTAGTAACAAATGGAATATAGTTAAGATAGGCGTTAGCAATTGTAATGGAAAGGAGGTATAATTAAAAACATAAAAGTAAAACGAAAATGTAATATAGCTGTGACAAGGCTGTGATAAAGTGATAAGGAGATAGAATAAAAAGTAATATATATATGAATGGAGGAATGGATGGATGGATGAGTGGATAAATACAAGATATAATTCAATGTAAACCAAGTTCCCTTCTTGGCTATTTTGTAGCTGAACGGTAATAAATACTACTACTATTCAATATTATTTAAAATATACGATTGCTTAATATCTTAATATAATATCGCATGTATATATATATATATATATAATATAAAATTCGATAGATAACAACAAAAATGCAATGATATGTTAAATATTTTCAAAACTACATGATTTACACTTGCATACATTGATCTATACGTGCATACACAACGAAGGCACGCCAACGTCAAATGCCACGTTCTAAATTCCAATTTTTCTTTCTTGTAAGTCTTATCGAGAAGAATATCATAAAGCAATTGTGTGTATGTGCGTGTCGAAAAATATAGGATATTACAAAACAATCACCGAAAGAAATACTGTAGAATTTGAGCTCACTAAGCGTGAGCGCGCACAGCACTATCACCAACGAAACGCGTGTGTCACTGTCCACTCCACAATCTGTACTCCGACCCAGAATTTTTATCCCTATCTCAGCAGCAGCATATCGTCTCGCTGTTGTCTTCCACAAGACACTCGTGCAACAAGCGTGTACGTACGCAACTTAATAGTCCAGCGTGCTGTTATCAGCACCGCGTGAATGGCTCTTCCATCGCGTGATAATCGTTTCCGAATCATTTTCATAACATTGTGACATTGAAGTGCCTCGCATTATTGCGCACCATTACGCCCCATTACGACACATTCAACGATAATCAATACGTTTTCGCGCGATACTCACTTATTACGCATTATTACGCGCTTTTTCACGCTCCGTTACACAACATAATAACGCCGTATCGCTGATATTTCTCTCTTTCTCTCTTCTTCTCTTTCGCTCCAATGCTTCTCCCAATATCTATTTCAATGTGAATTTTCGCGTCTCACTGCACATTTTATTTTTTACGTCAATCTTGCGATACTGGATAATTAATTTTATAATGACAAACGCAAACTGACATGCGAATGATATAATATTTCTACGCGAATATCTACGCAAATGTCCACGCAGAAACAAACATTCGTAACGCAGAAAGCTACGATACAGATGATAAATATTGCCCGTTAACTGCAAAAATCTCAATTGTATTCTAATATTGAGGCTAATACGGAAAATGTAAGTGAATTATTGAGCGCGCAACGATAATGTGAAATATCTATTTCTATTTGGAGTGTAATATCAGCCCTAAATTTGTGGAAATTTACTTTTTTTTCTTGTGATAAGATATAAAGGTATTCTATAACTTCAGACTTTGAATTACTTAATGGGAATTAGCTGTTTATCTGTTTCTGACACAGAGAGTCACGAAAGAGAAAGAGGAAACGTAGGTTTAACTTTCCTTCCCTTCTTATCTTACAAAACGAATTTGTCTCAATATATCAAACGTCACGGTATCTGCTAAAATAGTCATTTAGATAATAAATTGACGCGGAATTTAATTAATAGACAAACTAAAAAGACACTTGTCGAACTTGTTGTGCTGTGTATCTAAAGTAGGTATCTAAATCAGCATGAAAGTATGAATTTGTTGTACGCACAAAGTCACTCGACGATATATGCCAATTGTGTGCGCGAATTAGTAGAAAAATTTCAATTGCAAATACGTCGAAATTACGTACATATCTTTACCCGACCATTTAAATACGCGATTATCCGAGCTGCATACAAAAATACACGCGCATATAGTATATGTAAGAATGTTAATCTCTGGAAGTGGAACCCCAGGGAGAAGTTAATATATTATTGGCGAAGCGTGAAGGAAAATTCAATTTGCTTAATTGAGTACGTAGAACGCACCTT